CCGAAACTAATTATTTTTTAAGTTTAGCTTAAGGCATTGTTAAATTGTTAAATTTGTAATTCAACGCTCTACATTTTTCAACTCTGCTATCAATTGTCATTTATAAATTTAAATAGTACTATTTAACTATATTAAAGCAGACTTTCAATGTTTTAACAAGCTGTTTTGACATACTGGTGCTCATGTACTCATTGAACGTATCCTTTACTTACTTGATAGCATTGACACGAATGCCTTTCGGTCCCAACTCGAGGGCCAGACATTTGGTGAGCATATCAATCGCACACTTTGACATGCAATATAGGGAGGCTCCGGGAAACTAATCAAGGCAAATTAATTATTTATAATTATCATTCATCCCTATTAAAAATGTTTTACTTACAGGTCTAAGACCGGCGATACTCGAGATGTTAACTACACTTCCCTTTGTTTTCTCCAAATGCTCGACACATAAATGCGTCAAATAGACGACTGACCGCACGTTAGTCGCCATTACCTCATCATATTTGCGCGTAACGGCCGCGTCAGTGATCGGACACCGCATACCCCGACCCGCGTTGTTAACCAACACGTCTAACCTCTTGAACGCGGCTATAGTCGTGTCGACTAGTCGTCGGCAGTCGTCGGTTTGGCTGATGTCCGCCACCATCACTAACGGTGTCAACCCTTTAGGGGATATTTTAGCGCATTCTTTGACCACATTTGACACCCGCTGGGCGTCCTTTCCGGTCACCACCACCTGAGCCCCGTATCGGGCGAACAGTTACTTATTAAATGACTTGAATTTCTGATTAAATTTCTAAATAAATTGACAAATAATACTTTAATTTTAAATTGTTATTAGTTTTAATGCTTTATTTGTTGAGATCTCTAAAATATATTTACTAAACTATTGAACATTACTAAAGTAATTTTTGTTTATCAAATAAGGATGCTTATAATAGATACCCCGCTCAGATAGGACCCATTGCCTTATAATTTTATAATTTATAACATTATTAACTGACACTGTTATGTACCCAGTTCATAATGTAAAAAATAATACACTTGTTAATTACATATTTTAATTTACTTTCTAAGTTTGCTTCTTATGTAATTTATATAATAAAAATTTAAAAATACTAATTTATTATCTTTGTAAAGATTAGTAAAAGTGACTTGTTGATAATTATACTTTTAGAAAATCCGTTATACCGTATACGTAATTGTGATTAATTTGTTGATAAATACCAATACTTATTAGTGCCTAAAATTTTGAAATTACTGATAAATTATTATTATTATATTATTAAGTAATTAATAAATAATATTATTCATTTAACATGATATTTTTTTAAAATTAATTTATTTTTACTCTTGGAAATAAAATGATTTATAATAATTTGTTTTTTATATTGCAGTATGTTCCTTGATCCAATTTCTAAATTTACCCAGTCGCGTATAGACACCAGGGTAATGTGGTTGGGCACACCCTGTACCCCATGATACAACTCCGATCAGGGTATTATTAAACTTTATTGGGCCACCAGAATCAGCCTAGTGAATTAAATAATTATTTAATTACTTTAATTAATGCTATAATATTAATACATACCGAACACGAGTCCTTTTTACCCTCATCATATCCAGCACAAAACATATAATCACTTATACTTGACTTGTAATCACTAATACAAGTGGCCCTATCGAGCACCGGTACGTCAACTGTCTGTAATTTTTCAGGTAACTTAAAGTCAGCATTTACACCCCATCCAGTTACTGTAGCTACTGATCCAGGTGCTGCATAATCTTGATCTTGGTCAGGTAGTTTTATTTTGTCTAATGCTGATGTACCTAACTTAAATTCCCCAGTGACTTGTAAAAGTCCAATGTCGCAATTAGTTGATACATTTTTATTATAGTCTTCGTGCGATATGACCTTGCTTATATTAAAATCTTGACCAGGTACTTCCCGTAATAGTGTAGCGCATCGTAGTAATAAATTAACCGGTTTAACACTGTAATAGTTTTAATAAAATAATATTAATATACTTTATTTAAAATATTATTACAATTATTATGCAAACTTATACGGAATATTTAAAATAATTAATCTACGATTTAATTATTAACAATGTTAAATTGTACAGATATAACTAAATTATAATATTATTAAATTAATAAAATAAATTAATTTTAACACATACAATATAAACTTTAAATAATTAAACAATATTAAAGAAATATATTGGATTATATTTAAAAATTATTAAAAATTATAAATTAAAAAATATTGAACGGTAGTTTGATGACCATAAGCCATTTATTTAAATTTAATTCATCATTATAATGATTCTTATAATTTAAATGACAGTTGCAATAAAATTATTTTTGAAATATAAGATAATTTTAATATAACGTTTAGAAAGTTCCAACTTAAAAAATAGATATTATTTTTAAAAATGTATTACTTATAGTAAATAACATGTATAGTATACTTGTATAATACATGCATACATTGTATGCACTTAGTTGACAAATATGACATTGTTAATTTAAAAATAATTACTATTCTGCATAATTAATAAATATGTTTGTTGAATTCTAATTAAAATTAACAATATACTGTAATTCAAAAATCAGGTTGAATATTTTAAATTATATTAATCGTATTAATTCCACTAAATTATGAAAATAAATAAAATATTTATTATATCTTGATAAATAAAGTTTTGCAGTTTAAATAAAATAGGGTAACTTAATAATAAATTATTTAACAAACATTGACCTAAAACAATTGAGCCTACTTGGTACATTATAGAATGAAATAATTAGTATAATAATTAATTTATATACATATATTTTTAAAAATAAAAATTGAAAATCTAAAAAAATCATTTATCATTTAATCGATATATCATTTAAATTATTTATAACAAGCACGACAATTTGGATTTAATTAACTATTTGTAAATTAATTATTTAATAAATAATTATCACATAAATGACATACTTTTCCAAACAGTGAGCGGCAGTGACCACCCATTGGGTGCCTATAATAGATGCCCCGCATTGATGGGAACCATTGATTCTCAGGGAACACATGTGCGGGTTATCACCGGCTTTGGCATCACTGCCCCCTATGATACCGGCCCTCACATTGTGGTGTATGTCAGTTGGTATAGCAAATGACCATGCACAAAATGTTAAATATAACAAAATTTTGAAAATCATTTTAATGTTACATGTGGGTATTAATATTAAATTACTTGTTAAGTACTTTATATACTGTATATTATATTTTATCTAAATACTCATATGATTTAGAAATAAAAGTATGGTTTAAGTGTTATGTTCATTAAAATGTGCCTGTTATCATACTTTTAATTAGTACTTCGCAGAATTTATAAGGTACTGATTAATTTTGATAATTAATATTTGTAACCAATAACACTTAAGAATTTTAATATAAGCAACTAAAAATCAGGGACTGACTTTTTGGCACACAAGGGCACACTGGGCACACTGACTTTTTGGCACACTGAGCACACTGGGCACACTTGTAATACTAGGAATATTGTAATAAATTAAATCTAAAATTGTTTAGTGTTTAAAAATTATAATAATGGTTTAGTATTTGTAAATATTTTGTTGAAGCAAAATTCTATATTTATTTAATTATGCTACTTGTGAAATGTTACTTTGTGATTATTTGATAATTTAAAATAATATAAATATAAAGTAATATAATTTAATTATATTTATAGTAACTGATATTTTGTTATATTTTATTTTTTTAGAATAACCATTATTATAATTTCTTAAATACTAAGCAATTTTAGATTCAATTTATTACAATATTCCTAGTATTACAAGTATGCCGTAGTATGCCCTAGTATGTCCAGTGTGCCAAAAAGTCAGTCCCTAAAAATCATTTAAAATATTATTTTTTATAGTAATAAAATTATTTTTGATTTATTTAATTATAACCAACATAAAATCATATAAACATTATTTAAAGTTATTAATATTATATGTAATAAATTGCAAGTTAAAATTGTTGTTTATTTAATATCAACACGGTTTGATTTATATTTATTTCAAAATGATTATATTTTTATAAATAAAATTAGTAATAAATTTTATTACAAGATACAAAAATATAATTGAACATGTTAGTCAAATTTATTTGTACAGAATTAAAGTCCTGTTGATTCTAGTATAATTAATTTTGTTTAAAATATTTTAATTTATTGTAATTTTAGATAAGATTTACAGTTTAAATTATAAATTCATAAACTAGAAAAATTATTATGAACTATACTTATTCTACAGCTATATTGGTTAATCATTTACTTATTATAAATTAAAATTGCAAATAAATTGAAATTATTATTAAATAATTAGCACAAATATTTTAGGCTGACAGGTTATTTAATAACCACTTTATTTATAATTATCATTATAATTAAGTTATATAAAATAATTAACAAGCTTAACTTAATGAGAAATTTTATATGCGAAAATAATTCACGCTTTATATGCTTGGTAAATTTATAGTCTATGCTAAGTTGTGTTTGCTTTATGGTACCGCATCGTAGAGTATAAGTTATGTTACTATTAATATAATATCGTTTTAATAAAAACAATTTTTTATGTAAAAATTAAATGTTTAAAAATTTATAAATGCTAATAATATAAATAAATAAATAGTATTAAATTATTTTAAACAATATTAAGGCACTGTCTTAAAAACCAACTTTGCCTCCTTGCCTCCCCATTGGGAGAGAGGGAGAGAGAGAGAGAGAGAGAGAGAGAGCTGGTTATATATTTAACTATTATTAAATATTAATTTTTTTTATTAATTTTATACAAAGTATGTAATGTAGACTATAGTTTAATGAGTTAATAATTTAATAATTGTAATTGTAATTACATATAAATAGCTCTCCCTCCCATTCAGGACCACATATTTGGGAGAGAGAGCTATTTATATGTAATTACAATTACAATTATTAAATTATTAACTGTTTTAACTATAATCTACATTACATACTTTGTATAAAATTAATAAAAAATTAATATTTAATAATAGTTAAATATATAACCAGCTCTCTCTCCCAATGGGGAGGCAAGGAGGCAAAGTTGGTTTTTAAGACAGTGCCCAATATTAATAAAAAAAACTTTAGTAAATACTGTAATTTAAAATAAACTATTAATTTATATCTGGCATATGAATTTTAATAATAATATATTGGCCTGAAGAGTTGGACGATCTATCGATTTATTTTCCAAGCTAATTTTTATATTTATATCACATTAATTTATACAAATAATATTCTAGCTCCACATATGAATTATTAATAATTAATACACTTGTTAATTACATATTTTCATTTATTTTCAATACTAATTCATTATCTTTGTGCAGATTAGTAAAAGTGACTTGTTGCTAATAATACTTATTAGGGACTAAAATTTTGAAATTACTGATAAATTATTATTATTACATTATTAAGTAATTAATAGATAATATTATTCGTTTAAAATGATATTTTTAAATGAAATAATTTTTTTTAAACATTTATAAATAAACTGTAAACAAGATTCAAAACAATTTATATTATAACAAACTAATTTCGTTTTATTTTTGGAAATAAGATTTCCAATAATTGGATTTTTTATATTGCAGTATGTTCCTTGATCCAATTTCTAAATTTACCCAGTCGCGTATAGACACCAGGGTGGTGTGGTTCTGCGCATCCCAAAGCCCATGACACAATACCTATCAGCGTATTGTTAAACTTTAGTGGGCCACCAGAATCAGCCTAGTGAATTAAATGATAATTTAATTGTTTTAATTAATGCAAAAATATTAATACATACATAACAATGGTCCCTTTTACCCTCATCATATCCAGCACAAAACATATAGTCACTTATACTTGACTTGTAATCACTGATACAAGTGGCCCTATCGAGCACCGGTACGTCAACTGTCTGTAATTTCTCGGGTAATTTATAGTCGGCATTTACACCCCATCCAGTTACTGTAGCTACTGATCCAGGTGCTGCATAATCTTGATCTTGGTCAGGTAGTTTTATTTTGTCTAGTGCTGATGTACCTAACTTAAATTCACCAGTGACTTGTAAAAGTCCAATGTCGCAATTAATTGATACATTTTTATTATAGTCTTCGTGCGATATGACCTTGCTTATATTAAGATCTTGACCAGGTACTTCCCGCAATAGGGTAGCGCACCGTAGTAATAAATCAACCGGTTTAACTCTGTAATAGTTTTAATAAAATAAAATTAATATACTTTATTTAAATTATTATTACAATTATTATTAAAACTTATACGGAACATTTAACTAACTAAATAATAATATTATTAAATTAATAAAACAAATTAATTTTAACACATACAGTATAAACTTTAAATAACATAACAATAGTAAAGAGATATTTAAAAGTTATCAAGTTAAAATATAAACCATTTATTTAAATTTAATTCATGATTATAATGATTCTTATAATTTAAATGACAGTTTTAATAAAATTATTTTAGAAATATAAAATAAATATAATATAAAGCTTACAAAGTTCTAACTTAAAATATAACAAATGACATTGGTAATTAAAAAATAATTACTATTCTGTAGAATAAATGATTACTTTTGTTGAATACTAATTGAAATTAACTACTGGTATATACTGTAATTCAAAAATGAGGTAGAATATTTTGAATTATATTAATCGTATTAATTACACTAGGTTATGAAAATAAATAAAATATTTATTATATCTTAATAAATAAAGTTTTGCAGTTTATTTATTTTAAATAAATTAATGTAACTTAATAATAAATCCTTTAACAAACATTGACCTAAATGTTAAAACAATTGATCCACAGGGTGTTTAAAAGTGTTATCTAATTTTTAATTTAAACTGTATACATAACATAGTCATTGTACTTCTCAAAGTAATAAATAATATTAGATACTATAAATGAAATGATTATGTTATGTATACAGTTTGCATTGAAAAATAGATAACCCTTTTAAGCACGTTGACGATCAATTGGCCCTACTTGGTACATTATAGAATTAAATACCTAGTACCAGATTTCGAAAAAAGTTTTGTCCATCAGATTTGACTACTAAAATGCGGGTTATTGCTAAACTATTTAAGTTATCAAATTTATAT